CAAGTGGCTATTCCTTGGTACCTTTTTTTTTTTTTTTGGTCAGAGTCTTAGTCTATTGTCCAGGCTGAAAGACTGGAGTACAGAGGCATGATCACGGCTCACCACAGCCTCGACCTCCTAGGCTCAGATGATCCTTCTGCCTCAACCCGATGCTTTTGAGTAGCTGGGACTAAAGTGTGCACCACCATACCCAGATAATTTTTCAAATTTTTTTGTAGAGACAAGTATTACTATGTTGCTTAGGCTGGTCTCAAATTCCTGGGCTCAGGCAATCCTCTTGTCTCCACCTCCCAAAGTGCTGGGATTCCAGGCGTGAGCCACCATGACTGGCCTAATTCCTGTTATTTACTGTTCCTTTCCTAATGGTATAAGCTGGTTGCATGAGAAGATTGCTCACAATCAAGTTGCATTTTTCTAATTAAACCTAATTACCCTCTTGCAAATCTATTGTTTTCTATCCCTGTGACTCTGAGTTAAGCTAACTTAGAGATTTTTAATACCCAAGAGAATATTTTCTCCAAGGGATAGAGCAGTGATTCTCTAGAGACAGACTGTCATCTGAACATTTCTGAACTCCTCTTATCCCTAGGTGTAAAAATAGAAAGGGAGCAACAACGTTGACTGGGATAATCATACTATCTAGGGGAAATGCTGCTATGCAGAGAAGGCAAGGAGTGTAAGTAACTCCATGGAACTCCCCGGGGCATCTCCACCTGCTAACAGGACTCAAAAGGGCTCAGACTCTCTGGGAATAAAGGTTTAGGTCACCCCATCAAACAAAGAATCCAACCAATTAGTCAAAGGCAGAGAGCACAACATGGCTCACAGAGAAGAAATACTATATATGCCAGCTGCAGCCTCAAGATCATTACAGGAATGAGGACGTAGCAATGGCCTACTTTCCTTCTTGCTGCATCCTTTTCTTTCCTCTAGTATATATAGGGTATGCTGGTGGCAGTTACATTTACCATGTATTGTTTATATTACAGGATATTGAAATAGCATTAGTGGTACCAGTGGAGGAATGATCTTAGAGCTGGATTTCTGAACAAAACATGCCCTATGAAGCATCTTCCCTTTGGAGAGAGGATCTCAGGGTATTTTGGCTAAATGTGAAAAAGTTTCCTTTTTTCAGAAACATATAAAACTGTGTGTGTGAGAAAAAGATGGGAGTGTATGGTGTGCTGGGCATCCCAGGGTTGGAATACAGTGAACAACTGCTATGTTTGCCTATTAACTCCCCTTCCCTTTGTTTTGATTACAACACATGGGCAACTACCTTTCCTCCACCTGATGCAAATACAAATCTCATACCCTGCCCTCCATCCCCCTCAAAGGGAGAGAGGTACATGACTCAAGCAATAGCAACCTTTTCCCTGGGATTGGAACTGTGAGCAGAATGATGCGGGGAAGGAAGGTGATTGGAGGTGAGACATTTAGATGGTAGTGTCCTAAGCAGAAGTTTCATGACTCCTGTTACAGAGGTTTCCAGAGCTCCCCTCATTCCTACATTTCCTGAGGCCTTGTCAGTCAGCTCTTCCTTTGATTGGGTGAATTTCACAGATACCCTTCTTTAGTGGGCTAAATGGTGGCCCCAAACGTGTCCACATTTTAATCTTTGGAACCTGTAAATATTACTTTATTTGGAAAAAGTGTCTTTTTGCAAATGTGGTTAAGGATCTTGCGATGACAGCATCTTGGATTATCCCGTTGGGCCCTAAATGTCATCACAAGTGTTCTTATAAGACAGAGGCATTGGGAGATTTGACACACACACAAGAGAAGAGAAACAGAGACTGGAGTGATGCAGCCACAAGCTGAGGCATGCTGGCAGCCACCAGAAGCTAGAGGAGGGAAGGCAGGGATTATCTCCTAGAACCTCCAGAGGGAGTATGGCCCTGCCAAGATCTTGGTTTTGAAAATTAGGCCTCCATAACTGTAAGAGGATAAATTCTACTGTTTTAAGCTATTGAGTTTGTGGTAATTTGTTACAACAGCCACTAGAAACCAATACACCTTCTAATAAATTCATTTTTTGCTTAAGGTAGTCAGTCAGCTTCTGTTGTCTGCAACTGAAGGGCTCTAATTTTAACAGCTTATCACTTTATTTACTCCAATGATTACCCTTTTTGACCAAGTTAGAACCTGTTCTGCCTGGTACAACCTCAGACAAAGCCTGTGCCAAATCCGAGACTGGAGCCTGAGAATGTGAACTACAAATCACTGCACATATTGCCCACCTTCCCCACTCAGTGAGCACGTCAGAGAGCCAGCTCCATACAAGCAGAAACAGGTCCCTGGGCTCAGCTCTTTATTTGCATAATAGTTTTCATTGATACAAGGGAGGGGGGTTATGAGTCGTTCCTTTTCTGCCAGGACCACACACAACCTTGTTTTGGGCTCAGGCCAGATGATCCTCTCCTGAGCTTTCCCTACACCAGCATTGGGGACTTGTTTGCAGGGTCAGAAAGTCTGGAAGCCATCTGGCTTCTTGGTGCGTTCGGCAAGATTGTAAAAGTGGTATATGCAGCCCTTCTGATCTGTCCCCCCAACCTGGGCACAGCTGGGCCCAGAAGTGAAGAGGCAGGTGTGCGGGAGGGCTGGTGTGTGTGTGGTAACTCATGCGAGGTCCTTTGGCTTATCTCCAGCCTCTGCTCTAGTCTGGAGATTTGGAATTCATGCATGTGTTGGGGGCCCACTACTCATTAGACCCTGAGTATGACATGGACTTTCACACGTCATTCCTTCTGCTTAGAATACTCCTCCCTGGAACCCCCCTTTTTTGCCTAGTTTTGATGGCGGGTTGGATCATCACTTGCTTGGGAAAGCATTCTCTGACTTTCTCAGACAGTGGTCCCTGATACCTTATGCATACTTACAGTTCCCTGTGCTCAGTAGAGCTATTACACATTTATGTGATTATTGCATTGGAGTCTGTCTCCCTGACAAGTCTGTAAGCTTCATGAGTATAGGAATATATATTTTGTCCGCCATTGTATCTCTGGAGCCTAGTAAGCGTCAATAAATCAGAGGCCAGGCCAGTAAAGTAAATCTGAGAAGTGACTGGGTGTTATACAGTAGTATGTGTGTCTGTGTATATCTGGGAGGGATGGGAGAGACATTCTGGGGAAGCTGAGAGTGCATGCCTCACCCAAATGCATCCAGATTTTAAAAATATACTAAAAATACTGTTCAGTTAAAGAAAACATGTCTGCAGGCCACATGTGAAGCCCTAGCTTAAGACTCTCCCAATAGATGTTTGTTGAATGAGTGAGGAACCTACAAGGAAGTCACTGTAAAAACTTCAAGAACCAAGCAAGGACAGGGTTAGCAGAGCTGAATGAACCTCCTTTACAGTCTTGTTCACACCCTTTTGAGGGCCAGGCCTCTCTCTGGCTATTTCTTCTTCCTCCTCTGTGCCTGGCACCTAGCAAACTGTATGAACTGGTTGATCTAGTCAACATTTATCAAATACTCTGCACCAAGCCTGGGGTTCAACCAGACAATGTCTTCCATCATGAGGCTCTGTGTGATGGGACAGACAGAGCCACAGTCAGGCAATGACAGTATAGTGATGGGTGCTCTGGCTACAGTGTGTGAGAAGGGCAATGGGAATCCCCCTCCCCCAGCTTTCTCAGCAGGTGGAGAGAGGATTCATCAGGTAAGTACGAAAGACATGCTCCCAGACAGGATGAGGGGGCTGGAGATGGCCCAAAGGGACAGGAGTCTCAAGCATTGGCCTGGTTGGTTACTCAAGGCTGGGCTGTTTGTGTGGTGGGCAGAAGGGTGCCCAAGTCATACTGGGGCATCTGAGAGGCAGGTGTCCATGCGTGGTAGCCACCTGTCACCAACATTTCAGAGCTGAGCCAGCTTTAAGTCAGTGCCCCATCTGCTCCATTTGACTTTCATTTCCCTCTGAGACATATATTATGACCATTTGACAGATGGGCTGGAATCTGGAGATGGGGCAGGAACTGGCCCAATGAACACAGCAAGTCCTGGTGCAGCTGGGTCTATACTTCAGGCAAGGGCTCCTTCAGGCTTTCTCTATCTTAAGTCAGCCCTGGGAGGAAGGTGCAGAAGATTATTGCTTAGCAAATCTTGCATATCAGTTAACAAGGCAGTTCCCTCCTTCCTCCCAGGATTCAACTTTGAGAGCTGATTTCTGTTGGAAGCTCCTAGAAAAGAATCACAGCTGAGGTCCATAGCTCCTACATCTGAATCCATCCGGTCCTTTCCCTCAGCCTGAGAAGGGATTCTTACCCTGTAGATCAACTCTGGTGATCCACAAAGCCCCTAAAGCCACATGCAAACCTTGTGAGGGCAGAAGAAAGATGGAATTGATGGAGAGTCCTGGCAGACCAACAAGCTTAGGTGCCAAAGATGAGTCCACCTCTTCTATCTGTGTGGCATTTGGTGTATCAGACAGAGCCACAGTCAGGCAATAACAGTATAGTGATGGGTGCTCTGGCTACAGTGTGTGAGAAGGGTGATGGGAATCCCCCTCCCCCAACTTTCTCAGCAGGTGGAGAGAGGATTCATCAGGTAAGTACGAGAGATATGCTCCCAGACAGGATGAGGGGACTGGAGCTGGCCCAAAGCCTCTCAGAGCCTCATTTTTCCTTATCTGTGAAATGGGGATAGTTCTCATCCTCCCACACATGATCTGGCTGTGACAGATCTGGCTAGTGTACAGGAGGTACTCAGGAATCATTATCATCCTTTCAACTTTCTCCCTCTGACTCATGCCTGCTGCATGGATGACTTGGAGGCTGGTTTACAAGTTTCTGATTTGCTCTCAGAACCTCACAGATTCTAGGGTAGCACTGTCCTGCCCTGGGCCTTTGGAGGAAGGTATGCAGCTTCTGGGTCTCATTTTTCAGGCTGGCATGAGTAGTCCTGAGAGGCTCACTACCTTGAAGAACTTAAGCAGGGAAGGAATCGCTGTTCTGTTTCAGCTGTTGGTAAGGGTATGGGCAGAGGGTCATGGATCCCTTGTTTTAATATATCTGAGAGTTTGGAGGCTCACTGGGAACCTGGGTCTCCAGGTCTGCAGACCGTCTCTCCTGAGAGGTCTCTCGGGATGTCTCCAGAGATGCCTCCGACACCCCGTCAACGCTGCTCAGCAAGTCCTCAAACTCCCGGTGGCCGCTGTTGCGCACAGCTGCCTCCAGAGCCTTCTGGCGCTGGTAGAAGTGGGAGAACTTGTTGAAGATGATGGTAATGGGGAGCGCGACCACCAGGATGCCCCCTAGGATGCAGCCCGAGGCTGCCAGCTTGCCAGCCACTGTCACCGGCACCACATCCCCATAGCCCACGGTGGTCATGCTCACTGTGCCCCACCACCAGCAGGCTGGGATGGTGTCAAAGCCCACTTCCTCCTCCTTCTCAGCTGTGTAGGCCACACCGGAGAACACTGACACACCCACAGCCAGGTACAACAGCAAGATGCCCACCTCACGGTAGCTGTGCTGAAAGAGAAGACAGGAACCCAAGTCAGAACTGGGTGGGCTTATAGACCTGGTATTGAGCACATGGGGAAACTAAGACCCAGTGAGTATAAGGGACAAGTTCAAAGTTACAAAGCAAGGTAGGGCTAGTAAGAAGACCCAGGCCCCCTGACTCCAAACTAAGACCTTCTAATGACAAGAGACAGCCCACCTCTCTGGTATCAAACAGGCCTACTTTCTGTTGTCCAAGGTGGCTGCTAGGCCGCAGTTGTTTCTTCTAACTTGGGGGTTACTGGTGGCACCAGCCACCGAATGAAAAGCCTGTGATTTTTACACATTTGCCAATAGAACCATAGTGTATATTCCACATTGCAGAGTTGGTTTCATGTACTTTTGATTGGTCTGACAAATACAAAAAGACCTTCTGCCCCTCAAGGAAGCTGGGAGGAGATAAGTTCCCTAGACCACCCATAGAACACACTTTCCCAAGGTTGTGTATGTTTGCTGTGTGCTGGAGGCCAAGCACTAAGGCAGTGACCCTCCAACAGGGCGATTTGGTTCCCCAGAAAACACTTGGCAATGTCTGGAGACATTTTTGATTGGTACAGCTGGGACAGGTGTGCTACTTTCATCTAGTGGGGTAAGGCTGGGGATGCTGCCAATTATTCTACAAGGCACAAGGCAGTCCCCACATCAGATAATTATCTGGTCCCAAACATTAATAGTGTGAGGCTGAGAACCCCTAGTCGAGAATACAGCCTCTCCGACTGTACTGTGGGCAGCAATCGCATAGGGATCTTATTTAAAAGGCAGAACCCAGTTGAGTAGGTCTGGGGTAGGGCCAGAGATTCTATTTCTAGCAAACCTCTGGGTGATGAGGAAGCTGATGGGAGCCAGGGGTCTCACTTCGAGAAACAAGGCTCTCATCTGAAATATCTTACACCTGTATCTTGGACCCTGCAGACAAAGCTAGTGGCTGTCTGAATGGTGGAGGCAAGGCAGAGTTCTGGGGCACAGGGATATTCCCTGGAGAGATGCTGAGCTCAGGAGGTCTGGCTAATGGAATTCCCTGTACCTGCTCAGTGCCCTAGGTCTCTGCCTAGGTCACCTGCCAGCACCCAGTATCCTGGCTGCCTTGCCATGAGCAAGAGGCTTTACTAGCCAAGGGTGGAAGGGATCTTTCAGCATCTTCTAGGGATCCTTAGCAGGGGCACATGGAGCATTAGGAGAAAAAGCATGAGGTTCTGGAGGCAGACACAGCTGGGTTTTTCTCTGGGCTCTACCATTTATTCACTGAGAAAATTCGAATACATACTATCACCTCTTGGAGCCTCAGTTTCCCTACCTGCAAAGCTGTGGCAATACTTGCCCTTGCGTAAATCCCTCACAAGCTCTCTTATGCCCTTAGGATAAACTCCAAAATCATGGGACAAAAGTTCATGGCCCTTCAGTACCCTGTTCCACTCACCTCTTCAACTTCATCTCTGGGCAGCCCTTCCCTCCACGTTCTATATCCCAGCATTCATCCTGTTCCCTCTCCAGGCCTTGGCACAAACTGGTCACCTTGTCTCCCTCCCTAGACCATGCTAATTTCACCCCCTGGAGTGCAAACTTGTCAGGGCAGTGATCTACCCTCGATGCAGCATCTGGCACATGGAGGGTGCTCAGTAAATTGCAACCAGGCTTTAAAAAGCCAACCCCCTAACCTCAGCTTCTCCATCTACGGGAAGAGAATAAATAATAGCATCTTCCTGAGGAAGTTGTCCTAAGGGCTAAATTGATAATGGATGTGAAATTGGCACCACTTTAGTGTTCAGTAAGTGTTAGCTCCGGGGCTACTCCTAGACTTTCCCTATAAAGGGTGACCTGTGACTATCTGTGCCCCCCTGATAATGCCAGAAAGGCTCTAGCAGAGAGGCCAGTTAGCATCCTGCTTTGGACATCTTTATGCTGCTATGTATTGTTTGATGCTTGACAGATATTTAATATCAAAGGTGATACTTGTTTTTTGTTTGTCTTGAAAAAGCAAGACAAGCAGAAAATGGAGATCACAGTAAGCCCTTCCTAACAGGGCTGTTGGGAAGGTCTGACTGGATGTGAAGAGCCCCTGGCATCCAGAGACCCGTGCCTGGCACCAAGGACGGCGTCTCAGCTCAGTGTGTGCCTGGACGTGGCAGGCTTGCAAGTTCACCCGCTAACCCGCCCCAGGGCTCCACCCGCCTCCTCCGACCCAGCTGGAGCTCAGAGGCCCTACCTTGAGTGTGGCGCCCAGCGAGCGCAGCCCGGTGGAGTGGCGCGCCAGCTTGAGTACGCGGAAGATGCGCATGAGGCGGAACACCTGCACCACCTTGCCCAGGTGGCCGAGCTCCTTGCCGCCCGTGCCGCCGCGGTCGCCCAGCGCCACTCCAGCCAGCAGCGTGAGATAGAAGGGCAGCACGGACACGATGTCGATGAGGTTGAGCGGGTGGCAGAAGAAGTTGCGCGTGCTGGGCGCCAGCAGGAGGCGCGACGACACTTCGAAGCTGAACCAGGCGATGCAGAAGTACTCGAGGCGTCGCAGCACCGGGTCGTCGGTCACGCCCTCCGCACTGCGGCCCGCGGCCACCCCAGCCACTGCCGCC